ACAACCCCTCTCGGGCTGACAGGAAAGCCACCACTTTGGCTTACAGGAAAGCCTCCACTTTTCAACTTAAAATAGAAAATAAGAAACGAAATTAATTCTAACTAGCTAAAGTTTACCCGAAGCTGTACAAAAATAATAACTAAGCGAATTAACCCGTAGTTAAACCTCACCAGAGAATACTAACAAGCATGTAAAACTACGGCCAAACGTTGTAAGATAGGCTTAAAGCAACGACGTGGCCCGAAGGCAGAACATGCTCTACTGGGAAATTCTGAGCTCTTCTACGGAATTGACTAAACTTCGCAATAGATAATGGGTCTACTTCATAAAACGTGGTAGTGATATCTCATTCTGGCAGACTGTTTGTAAGCGGAAAACAAGAATTTAAAAAAGAAAGGGTTTCAAAATTAAAAATAACTATTAGAGATAATATTAGAGAATTAAAAATAATCTTAGCAATGTTATTCAGGTTAATTTATAAGTCAAACAACAAAAATCAGCCTTATATTTTTAAATTTTCACAGGACTAGTTTCGATGGTTTTACCGAAGCATCATCCTCAGCTGCAAAAGCGCAAATGCGCGAGATAAGATATAATGGTTAGCGAAGATATAATGAATAGATTTTTGTTGTTTGACTTCTAAATTAATATTTGTTCGGCGTGTTATTTTATCTTAGTTATTCAGGTTGTTTAAATTTAAGAACACTTTCTTCGTTCTTGTGCTTTTCGTGCAATAATATCAATTATTTATTTATATCAGAACTAGTGTACATTTAATTTAGGCTATTAAAATATTAAAGTATTGAATCTAATTTAAAGAAAAAGCATTTTGAATTTTGAAAGCATTTTGAATCTAATTTAAAGAAAAGCTTAATATTCATGTGTTTATGAATATCTGAAGTACTGAAGTATTGGTCATAAAATGCGTAAATTTGTGCAAGTATCTTCTGTTTATAGCTAAAGAATAAACTCACGAATATCCATAACACTGAAGGAAAGTTGTAAATCTTAAATAAAGAATTGCAGGATGTATTTGAGAAATTCTCTGACGACACTGTTCATGGGAGCTGTACCGTTGGAAATGGGCCCATTATTCCCTTTAACAGATACTGGAACCTAAATGGGTCTATTTTATTTAAAAGACACAAAAGGCTTATAACGTGGATATCACTGAGCTTATGAAAGAACTTGGAAATGCATTGGCAGACCTAAGGATGAATAGAGTGATGATGAGAAACTCTCAGGAACTTATAGGGATAAATACTTAATGCAGCTTTGAAAATGAAACTATTTAATTCGTAAAGATGTAAAACTTAAGTTCAGTAATGCATTACTTATTCTTTGTAATATTTGCAAATAGTTAATCTAAACATAATACTAAAAACTATTTGCTGTAAATTTTACTTTTTTATTTGATCAAATATTTTAATTCCATAGCTAACGTGCTTAGTAATTTATATTTCAATTACTTAACTATGCATACGCAGTCAGTATATAAAGCATACTTAAGTTGATAAAAATGAAAAGTTAATCAAATTTCGTTCTTACAATTTATTCCTCGAGATATAGTTTTGTGAATCTTGGTAACATTTGATGAGTTCATATATTGAATGTATTCAATCATAAAACTCATCTTTTGAAATAATGTTTAAGTTTCTGTGAGCGAATATCAGAATAGTTTCAAAACTATCAAAAGGATGACACTAACGTAAAGCTTAACTTTCGAAAAAAAAAAAAAAAGCAATCTGCAATACCTCATCTAAGCGTATGAAAGCGTAGCAGAGAATTGTGTCTAAATTCTCTTGCAACAAAGTGTCCGCAGTGAATGGAATTGTTTAATGGTCAGCGTCGTGCAAAAGAAACCAATTATGCAAATGAGCATTTTTATGCATAACATGCTCATTTATTTTTACAAGGCTGTCCGTTACATCTTTATAAATACATAAATATACATGCATATATATATATATATAGAGAGAGAGAGAGAGAGAGAGAGAGCAACTGCCTATAAATTAGGAAATTCCTTCTAAATTATTTCCTTAAAATCAAAAAGGTTTCTAACATCGACTTTAATCAAAATTTCTCAACTTAGTTTTCTATAACCATGGTGAATATTCTCCCACACCAACCGAAGGTTGCCATTTTTTCAGGATCATAATCAAAGCACAAAGTTTCATCTACAGACGCAGTCTACAGACACACTCACTTAAAGAGATTAAGTTAGGTTTTCCTAAGGAGGAGGATGATCTTGTGGAAAACTTTCTTACAGATTCATATTCATGCTACACTCGGAAAAAGCCACGAAAGTCAACTACCCAGCGTTTCCTGGATAGAAACCGAATCCAGGCCTCCAGGCCTGTCTGTATAGCTACCTGGATTAGCTTGGAATCAAACGAGGATCGAACTCCCAGTATTCAGAGTCTTAAACTATTCGGCCACTATCTTCGAGGAGACAGATTTTTTCAATTGTCAATTTTTTCGATGTTCCCATCAATCCAGACCTCCAGGCCTATCTGTATAGCTACCTGGATTAGCTTGGGATCAAACGAAGATCGAACTCCCAGTATTCAGAAACTATTCGGCCACTATCTTCAAAGAGACATATTTTTTCAATTGTCAATTTTTTTCGATGTTCCCATCAATTCAAAACTGGTAAGGGTTAAGATTAATGCATTTATCATCAGCACCTTCGCTTATATCATGAAATCATCCGTTGAAACAAAAGATATTTGGTCACGTCCATGCTGAATCATGTATCACTTGCACAACATTTCAAACGTATCAGTTACTGCTGCACTCCCTTTACAGCTAAATATTATTACTATTATTTATTCAGCTTTCGAATATGTGACAGAAAAATATATATGTGAAAGAAATGTTCATTAGTCTAAAATAATGATTAACAGCATAGAACTTTGTGCACGTATGTAAAGGATTTTAGGGAAAGAAAGTTAAGATGTCCTATTAGTAAATATTGTTAGGTAACATTTTGCGGGTTTGATAGAATTTGTTAATATATATAATCTTAAGAATTTGAAGATTCACTGTGTAATCTTACGGTTAATGTGTCTAATTTATTTGTATTTTATTATACTTTTTATTACATTTCCATGAGTAGACTGCTATAAAAATTTAACTTCTAAAATGTCCGTGTATCATTTTTTACGTTTTGTTCAGATTGAAAAATCATTGTTCATATATCATTGAATTCTGCTCAGATTGAAATATCATTGTTCAGATATCATTGAATTTTGCTCACATTTAAAGTACGACTATCCGAGTTTTGAATGTGAAGCTCGGTACAATATGTTATTCAAATCCACATTAATTTTACAAACAGACTGCAAACTAACTTCTAATTCCTGAAAACGACCAGGAATAAACTAATGGAAACGAACTGAAATAAAGTAGTTTCTATGTGGTTTTAATATCCCGGACGCGGAGTGAAGAGTTAAGCCTGCATAACTGCTATATTACTGTGTTGCCAGATTTATAAGACAAACTAAAGTAATGCGAATAATAAATGTTGGCTTCGTTTCAGATACATTCTTCGCACGATCTATGAGGGAAATTCTATGACAAAAACGGAATCCTCGACTGATGAATGCCGTAAAACGATACTTTGAGAAATGATGGAATCTATGAATAAATAAATGTTATTTAGTTAGGATTAGGATTTTTTCCGGAACTGGAAATGGCGAACGCTACATGTGAGAAAACGATCGTGGCGGGAACACTAGATTGAATCTGCTTTATCTTAAAACGCAAATGTTACAAGATAAACTCTTTTCAAAACAATTAATTTCAAGGATCTTAAAAATATGCATATCTTAAATTAGTATATTCAATATTTTTCTGTAAGTGGTGATGCCTAAATAATAATTACCATATGGTCAAATAGAAATAACTGCGAATTAAACTAAAAGAACAGTAACTGTATATTTGCTTATGTACACAGTTATAACATTAGGTTTTTGCAGCTGAAACAGATGCTTAAGTTTACATTCGAAAAGGATTTGAATCAAATTAGAAATATTAATCAAAACATTCATTAATACAAAATAATAAATTTAATTTGAAAACGAAAATTTATGATGTATCAGTAACTTACAATTAACTTGAAGAAGTATCCTTTTACTGACGGATGGCGGAACACCGTTTGCTGCTATGCAGAGGTAAGCCGCCATGTCTTCTCTTGTCACTTGGCTTATATTCAGATACTCTCCTGTTGTTTGTGGCACTGTTTGGTTAACATAAATAAAACATTTAAAATGTTAAAATAATGCAGGAAATTCAAATTAACTAAAATAGTAATTTTAGTAGCTAATTCAATCACCGAGATAAAAACATGCAATAATCAGCAAGAACTTCTAGAAAAAACGAAATGAAAGCTCGTATAATTTCAGACAACTCTTGATGAACGGGGAGTGGATTAGCTGAGCTCGAACTAAAGAGAAGTTAAATTCGTTTATTATGTAGAGATGAGGAAACTGCTATCACAAACTATCAGTGTAAACAAAACTGCCGAAGTAAAATACTAAAAGTAAAGAAGAATCCGCTAGATAATTGCAATGACTGAAAACCATTTGCAGTGATGCATGCCAAATGCAGTGAAAACCTGCACAGATATCTACCAAATGAGCTCTTTAAAATTCAAAAATTTCAAACCTTCGTATTTTACGTGAGTCTGAAACTCAATGACATTGTTCAAGGTCAAATAAAATATCGGTCATTTAATTCAGAAGTCAAACAACAAAAATCAACGTTATATTTTCAAAATTTTCACAGGACTAGTTTCGATGGTTTTATACCAACCACATCAACGCAAAAGGGAAAAAAAAAAAAAAGAAAAAAAAGAAAAAAAAAAGCACCTCACAGCTACTAAACTGGAGCATATGTTGCCGGACGATGAAGGTGTGTATCTCTTGCGCTTTTGCAGCTAAGGATGGTAGTTCGCTAAAACCTCGAAACTAGTCCTGTGAAAATTAAAATATAACGCGAATTTTGTTGTTTCACTTTGAATTAGTCTCCTCTAAGAGGTAGTATAAGTTATCGTAAAATTCAGCTGTGGGAAATTACTAGTTCCATACTCAAACTTAAATTCGAGCAAGGAAAAGGGCATATGTTAGAAAAAGAAACACAGAAGCTTCTGTTGCTCAACATTGTTGGTCCGCAAACACACTTTCAATTTTTCTGCAAATTTACAAAAAAACATCTTCCATGGAGAGAACTGGATTTTTTAGGCATTTCACATTCAAAAATATTATGGTCCGTTAACGATCTAATTTCAATCCTCTTTGCCTTCGGCTTTGAAAGAATTTATGTTTAGTTTGGTTTTCCAACAGATGGCCCACTTGCTTATTTTCCAGGCTTTTTCTTATCTAATCATTATTTCATAGCTTGTTCATTTGCGGTTGCAGTGAGGCTGGTGGTTCGTAAACCATCGAATTTAGTCCTGTGAAAATTTTGAAAATATAACGCTGATTTTTGTTGTTTGACTTCTGAATTAGTATTGATTGGGCGTGTTATTGTGTCTTAATTATTGGTCATTTATTCCATTAACAACTTAGTTTTTTTTAATCAGAAGAGAAACACTCCAAAGGGAAACTTAAAATTAGTAAAGAACAACCTTGTATTTGCCGTAGATTTAGAGAAAAAAATCAATCAATTTTAAGGGCAAACAGGTCTTTCTTCATCAGGAGCAAAGAAAATTGGAAAACCGAAAGTGGCGGACATGACGGTCTTAATTAAACCCTATTGCAGTAAAGTACAGAAGAAGATTGCGCCCTTTGTCGGTAAAATTAGTAACGAATTCTTTCTTGAAGCTTTTCAAATTCATAAAGATTTAGCTTGTTCAGCTAATGACGTTACATCTAATCAAGTCTTTCTGAATGCTTTTAAAATTCTATTAATTTAATTTTTCGTTGCTAATTTTGTCGACAGTTGGCGCTACCTAACTGTTCGGAGGGACCTGTTTGCCTTCGAAATCGATTGAGTTTTTGTCTAAGCCAAATACAAGTTTTTTTCCTTTACTAACTTAGTTTCTTCCTTTCCAATGTTTATTCTTCCATTATTTACAAATATTTCTCTTATATTTGTCACTGAATACGGAATTAGCTAACGTAACCAAATTAACGTATTCTTCAAATTAAACAGCTTGAAATTACACATATATTGTTACTAATATTTTCTTATTAAAGATAATATGGTTTATTCCACTTTTGGGGCCTTTTCAACTAGCCTAGGATTAGCTATTAAAATTTAGGTTAAGTGTGAACATCGTTCCAAGGATAACTGTGGTTAACCACTTGTAATATTACATATTATGCAAAAGTATGTAAAAGGAAAATTATAAAATTTTTCAAGCAACTTCGAGATTCTGAAACATACAATCAAATTTAAAAAGTAGACGTTAAATTTTCGGTAAAATATTTAAATACTCTTTCACAGAAAAAGAAGTACGAACTACTTTATTGATACAGATGAGACTTTCAATGAAGTAGTTATTCCCAAAATCACCGGATGTCTAAAAATAATGTCCCATAAAAAGTGAGAGAACGTTACACGAAGGATTCGAAAATTTAGAAGCAAAATGCTACTTGGAAGAGTTTCAGTGCATTGCTTTGCTAAGTACAAGGGCGATCTCAAAATCACTTCCACTGGATGAATAAAGGAGTACCCATGAATATTTCTGGGTGACATTCACCCAGTTTGCAGATTAGAAGAGTATGATTTAATATTTAAGTTGCTTATGTGAAAATGTCGCTTTGCATTGTGAAAATTTGCCTTGTTTTAAATTTTAAACTTGCTTAAAAATGTTTAATTTGAAGAATTGCTTCAAAATTAGATTTCATTTCTATCTGGAAACCTCCCTAAAATTTTGATCATTACCCGAGGGACTTGCCATATTAACTCTTTGAAGACCGTAACCCCCAGACGGCCTTTCACTCAAACGACTACAGCCGCCCGAAACGGAAGAAATTCCGATGTTGTTTCCTTCCCTCCCCTAAGGTATGCAGTAGCAGGTGCAGTTTTACCACATGCATTGTATCAGTTTATTGCAGACAATTTTTCCTAAAAGGATGTATTTGTAGTTTCTTATCTTTATTTGTTAGGAAGTAGAAAGGATGTCCTTTGAAGCCTTCACTCTTCTTTGTGCGATAATGAGTGGGGAGGGGAGGAAATTGCTGGGACTTTCCAAAACCTTTTCGGGCAGTTCGGTATTTTATGTATACAGGTTAGCGAAGATTTCGTTTTTCAAAGAGTTAATATTCGACACCTCATCGGTTCTGCAAAATAACCAGCTGCAGTCAGTATTATCTTCTTTTATGCCAGTCACTGGCTTCTGGCAGAGCTAGTTTGCTTCAAGGAAAACAATGATCTTGCTGTTTCCATTTTTTACTTGTTATTCTGTGCACAGGTGTTCAGTCTGCTGTTTTTTAATAATGTACATTTTAATGGAAAACCGATTATAGCTTAAATTTATAACCTAAGTAAGTTAGCGCTTAGGACCTAATTGAATGTTTCATGCCTCCTGTTAGAGGCACCAAACTCATTCAGCGGGGATATTCCACTGACCCGGACGCACTCAAATTTAATTTCTTTAATCGAGAAGAATTTTTAATGAAATCTAAACATGAACACACTTTTGCTGTTACATTCTCGCCATCATGCTCAAACCTTTGTGAAAAAAAAAAAAAAAATTCCGTCGAATCAAAGAATGTGAGGAACATGAAGGAAGAAGTGAAACGTGTAGGAAGAAAATAATGTAACAATGATTTCGTTATTTTATTTCTTCACGTTCGTACGGGGTTCGTAGACTTGGAGCGAATAACGACGACACTTGAGACGTATCGAAACACACTTTGTTTAGCCAATATTAATCAGGACAGCTAAAAAGTCACTTTTTACAGTCGTTGAAGATCTACTATAAACACGCTGGAACAATCAGCGACACAGCCTTCAGGCTATCAGGCTATCACGCTGAGAGAGCTTCACGGAAAAGCACTAGAGTACAGCTCCGGACTCTCCTCAGTCGTTCTCGGAACTCAACGTACTCTCGAGACTCTCCAGGCTAAAACTCGCGGTGCACTCGACGACAAACAGAGCGCAGCTTCCGACTCTTCTTTTCAGTCGTTCTCAGAGCTCAACACACTCTCTCTAATGCACTAACCGCTATATAGGAAAAGACTCTCACGATGCACTCGACGACCCACTCGGCGGTAGACTTCGTGACACTCGCTCAATGACTGACTATCAGCTCGCTAGACGCGGCACTTACTGACTGCGGACTGCAACAATATTAAATGAAATAATTTTATAGGAATTACCGCATCATTAAGAAAGGCTTCGAAAAAGGCATTGAATTTAATACTTCAAAAATATTAGTCTCATTTAAAGAGTAAATTGTAACATCATATTCATATTTCCTTGCATAAATGCGAAGTGCTAGTAAAATATTATAAAAACTTGCTGATATTTCATTGTACAAATGCAAATTGATAAAAATAAAAAACAACCTTATGCCTGCAATTCTAAGAAATTTTTCTAACTGATTATACTTAGACAAATGGTCATTGCACAATCCACAGTTTCCCTGTGGATTCTTGGAAAGAGGTTTTAGTATAAGACCAAGTCGGAAGACAGAATATATATTGATACATAAAGACTGCTGAATTACAGACACGTTATTAGACGTTTAGTTTGTAATATATCCAACTGATAACCGAACATCTCTAACTTCATTTCATATTGGTAAGTTAGCTGACTAGTAAAGCAAACTTCTTGGTCCTGAAGTTTACAGAGACATTAGGTTTTTTTTTTTTTTTTTTTTTTTTTTTTTTTAAGCACACGAGATGAAAAATTAGCAATGCCCTCGCCAGGACTCGAGCCACGGACCTCTCGAAATCGCGCCGAATGTGCTGACTACTGCACCACTTAGGTATGTTAAGAAGGCGGGAGAATCTCCAGTCATTTCTTTTAAAGGGCGACTGGGATTAAGAGAACCAATCGCCAAATCCTGGTGGTGGAGAATCATCATCCACCACCTTTTTTAGTTCGGGCGTCACTGTAGAGATATTAGTATTTTTTTGAAGCAGGAAAATGTGAAAAATGAGGAATGCCCTCGCCGGGACTGAACCACGGACCTCTCGAATACGCATCGACTGTGCTGACCACTACACTACGAAGGCCTGCTAAGAAGGCGGAAGAAACACCTTATGCATTTAATATAGAGCAATG